TGAAGGAATTAGTTTTGAAACACCTGTTGACACACGCTTGATTGTCAACAAAGTTTTGTTACATGGCATGGTCTTTGGTAAGGGATCAATACAATCTACTATAACTCTACTTAATGGTTTGTCAAATGCAGTAATTGGTTTCAAATGAGCTTTAGGAATGTTTTGATTTTGTTTTCCTTCAATTTGACACACCTGACAAGATCTGCAGAAACATCACTTCTCATATTTGGCCAATAGAATTGAGCCCAGATATTGTGATACGTTTTATTTCTTCCCAAATGACCACCAACCATAGAAGTTTCATGGGCCACACAAAGTATTTCCTGTTTGTAAAGTTTTGGAACCACAATTTGATATTTTACTGAGCAAATGTAACTAGCAGGTACCTGGGGAGGTCTTCATTTTCTCATAAGAACTCCATTTTTAATGAAGTAGCAGACAGGTGCTTCACTTACTTCAGTTTCACTAACAGCCCGCTGAAACAAACAGGAGATCTCAGGATCCTTTTCCTGTTCAACGACAAATGATTATCGTTTATTACCCTGATCAGATAAAAGAGAATGAGTATTCAAAAGAGGATCACTATGATCAATACTTATCGACTGATCCAAATTAGAAGTGAAAGTGACCTCATCAAAAGCTTGGTCAATACATGTGTCAGCTAAAGGAACACAGTTCTTATCAAAATCATTCTTAAGAGCTTTATTTGCCAAAGCTCTGGTAACTTAACAAGCTGAACATAAATCAGGGATATCTTTTTCAACAGGATCAACTTTTTCATCCAAAGAAGGATTGTCAGCATCTGTGGTTATAGTCAACCATGACATCGTTGATTTATCACCTTGATGCATGACAGAAAGTAACATGTTGTTCTTCGGCGATCGATGGAGTCATTGTTAGCATCCACACAGAAAGTTTGGTCAACATTATTTTTCCATGAAGTTCCCTAATTGCAACATCATCAGCTCCTTCGGCATGCCATATAGCATCATCATCGGCACCTTTCCGGAATAGTACAACTGTATGTTTAACTCCAAAACTAACCTTTCTAACATTTCTACAAAATCCAAAAATGTTTGACAGTGGGATAGTACACAAAAATGCTCTTCTACTATATTTTAACATTGCTAGACGTGCTGCAAATCCTAAGTTGAATTTTGGATTAACATTTTGCAATAACGAAAATTCAGCAGCAGGCAAGGTTATCATACCAGCTGATTGTGGATCGGATGCAGTATCCCCTGTTGTTTGTATTACAATATGTTGTCTATTATCAGGAGAATCAGTTATATCCTTTGCAAACATCATTGATGGACCAGCTGATCTTGAATAATCATCGCTGTATTTTGCAAGACAAAGTATCGTTGTGGCAACGTCGATGTAGTCATAGCAAATCTTAATCTCTCATCCATAAATCATATTTTCAGCACTTTGAATAAAGCCATAATACCATTTTTAACAAAACCAACTCTAACATCGGCTCCATATTCAGTGCTATTCGTTTTCAAAATTTTACCTTCTACTTCAATAAATGCCTCAGCAGGTAAAAAATATATCTGCTTGTTTCCTGAACTTGTAATTCAGTTCTTCTAGGATCGCTAGGTACACGTGCGTCATAAGAATAATGTTGATAATCGCGAATGGATTCATTTTTGAGAACTGGTGCGTCCATATCACACGCTGGATCAGATATACGCTTGAACATCTTTATTAATATCGTCTCGTCTAACACGAAGACTAATTCATGCTATTAGACTAGCGGTTATATTTATTTCTTTTTCCGACATTGGTACATCTGCCAACTCTGCTAGTTTTTTATTAGCAGGTTTATTTATTATTTTACTAACATTTGCCGACATCACTTGAATGCTAGGTAATTTCACTGGCTGAGGTCAAACCTCTTGGGGTCTGCGTAATAATCGTGCTAGTCTATATTTCACTGCTGCGAATGCTTTGCTAGCAACATCCCCAACAAAGCCTATAACCTTTTCACGAAAAACATCAATATATTTCATTTCCAGTAACTATGCAATCGGTATTGTATTTGGGGCCATTCTTATAAACAGATCCTGAACAACATCACCAAGTCCATCTCCATAAGTTATTTTGTATACTGGTAATGGAGAGTTTATTATCCTGACCATGGGTGGTCCACGTTGAATACTATGTATGATCATTTTAATATTAAGTGATTGTATCACTAATTGTATCTAATTACATAATCAGTCACTGTGATAATCGTCGGTGGTTTCATTAATGAGGAATCGATATACATTAATATCCATAACTCCACATGTAAATAATCGTTTGCAAATAACAGCTGCTTCAATGATTTCCGATGAATTATTGCAAGCTCGTTTTCCTGCAATGATAATTTCTAGTCGATTAACATCAGGAAGAACATTTTTGGGACAAGTAATAAGGCCACTTCCTAAACCACTTCCATTTGCTCCAGGATCTTGATATTCTTCCTTCTTTATTTTGACTGTTTGTCGTGGTGATTGAAATCGTTCCATTGTTTCATGCCGTTGTTATTCTCGTTGTTGTGGCTCTTGTTGTAGTCGTTGTGACCGTTGTGGTGAAGATAATTCAAATTGTTGTGGTAGCGGTGGTACTACTCTTGGTGATCGTTGTGGTGATTTTAATAGCTGTTTACCTTGCTTAGCTTTTTCGATATGATTATATACAGCCTTATCTAATCTGTTAAAAATATTAATATCTTCATCAGATCTGATTCCCGGATTATTAGCAGCGATTTGATATACATCCCTGATCCAATTGGCAGAGCTTACAGATTTAACATGTTCTGGTTTTACATATTTTTTTCATAATATCCAGACGCGGCGATATCAAGTAAGTGGTGCTTGCCCTTGAGAGCAGCAATACCATCAGGCGTAAATTTATATATTATCTTAGTTCTGGTTCTTGGTTGCTGTGGTTGTGGTGCTTGTGGTAATGGTTGAGCTGCTTTAATACGGCCAGCATTATCAACAGGTAATGTTTCAAGAGCTCTTTTCGTTGCCTCTGTTGCTATAACAATTTTCTTTGTTGGTTCGACAATCGGTTTAAATAATTGTTTGTACCTTCTGTACAAATTCCACTTGAGATTCCTGACGAGATTGTAGTTGTTGCTTAACATAATCACGAACAGATAAATATTTGAATTACCTCTAGTCCCTACGGACCTAATCTAGCTGAATAAGGTTCACCAATATTCATTATTGTTAATATTTTTGCTGGCTGTTTAATTTATAGAAGCAGAGAGGGCGAACAACCAATACTGAGTGACCAGCGCGTAAAATAAAAGTACATAAAAACAAACAGTCATAGACAAAGTAACGAGACAAGCTAACCCAATTAGAGAAGTTTTTACTTTAACATCATCGACATTATTGTTCAGCCTTCGTAGGAACCTTTATTTTTCAAAAATAATGTCTGTTCACCATCTACTTGCTTAGATTTGTCAAATTATTTAACAAAGAGATATGCTGCAGAAAGCGAGTGACCTCAAGACTGTTCTCATCGTTTGTGTCTGTTGGTGAGAACAAATATAAAGTATAGCAGTTTCTTGTCTCATAGTTGGGACAAAAAGGTTCGTCTGATACAAATTGGTCTGTTCCCCCTCTCTGCTCCAAATGTCCATCCTTTAAGTATGTAGATAATTATTTCACACTTAGTTGATGACATAAAACCTAATGGTACTGATGGTTATCTATGTGGCCACGTTTGGCTGTATTAACTTGCAATATTCAAAATTGATATTTCCCTCGTCAAAAAGATTGCTGATAGTAATATATTTTAAGTTAGTACTTTGCCGCTTGACTTTCCTGTATACTGGTATGTAGTAATGTTGCACCATTGATCAAACCTCACCGTTCCAACACTGCCTTAAACTTTATGATACATACTCTACCTGATTAGTTATTTGACCTGTAAATGGTTAAATATACCTCTAGAAACGTTATATAATTTAGGATGCATTTATCACTTTAATATATGTCCATTGCTTCACATTTCTAAGTGTCACTCTGTCAAGATTACGATATTTTGCCTCTGTTTGCAATCTTAACGTTATTTTGAAATCACCATATCTAACAAATTTTAACTTCATTTAACTACATCTTACTGTTTTCAAGAATTAATTGCAACATGTTTTATGTTTTCAGGTCTAGCCTGGTATCTGGAATAAGTGTTTAAGCTGGACCAGTTTGGAAGCTCTCCAGCAGTCCGGTGGTGATAACAAGGTTTCATAAGGACAAGTGCAATTTACCTCCATAAGTGACCAAGATTATTTCATATTAGCACACTGTTATACAGTACCTCAGAGACATGGCTTAAGTCCTCATGGTAGAGATTCAAACCATAGATCAGCAAGGTAGAACCTCATAAAACTATTTCCTATGACATAGTCGCCTTTTCTAGTTATCGACATAGAAATGGAATGCACTTTTGCTATAAAACATGTTAATGGTCCCAGGAAACTTTAAAATTGAGCGCACTGTTATTTACACGAACAAATGCCTAAGTACCTGGCACAATAAATGTGGAACATAGCATCTGTTATTGTTTCTTTAGGGTGTACACCTATATGCATCGGGAAAGGCATATTGCAATTTGCTGCCAAAATCGCTGCGCTATCATGCTTCACTGCCCCTGGAAAAAATGCTTTCAGTTGTACAGACCCAAACTAACATTTGTTTTAAATACAATTGATTAGTCAACTTGTGTGACTAAAACTTTTAAAACCGAATTTTATAACTTGTATGAAAATTTAATTTTTCATTAAAATTTAGTTTTCATAATTTAAAATTTTATTTAAATTTCCATTATAATTTATCAATATTTTAAAATTTCAAATATATTATCAGACAGGCGTTAGTACGTATTACAATTAACATTTTACTGCAATGAAAATTTCTTATAATTAAGGAAGATATAGCAAATTAGATCGGGAATTCTCAAGAAGACTGGATCGCAACTTGCATCCTGTGGAACAAACCGCTTTGGTGGCTTAGTGGTTAGGGCGTCCGCCTCGAATGCGGGATGTCGTGGGTTCGAGCCCCATCCGAGTCATACCAAAGACTTACACAAATGGTAGTAACAGCTGCCTCGCTTGATGCTCAGCATTAAGATGTTAGTGTTAGGGCTGGTCGGGCTGGTGTCAGGATAATATGACTGGGTGTGGTACATCATGCTACATGTCTGCGGCATGATGCCACAGTGCTAGACATCACTATAAGCTGCCACACTGCAGACATCGTAGTGATAAGACTGAAAAACTGTTACAAGCTACGTTAAAAATCTAAATCACACACACATCCAACACCAACACTACACACTTTCTGACAGCTGTCACGTCGTGTTTGCAAGGAAATGCCAAAAGACATTATGTATAAAGTTGAAATAGTTGTGGCATGCAAATAGAACTGGGCCTTTCACGAATCAGGCCACCATTAATAGCACCGGTTTAGTAACCAAAAATGTAGTCCCATTATATTTTTAGAGCATTTTGTCCTGTCTCCTTTTGTTGATGATACAAGAGTTAAATTTAGGCATTCTTTTTATGGGTTTAAAGGCAATTGTTTATTCATTTGAATATGAGCTTATGGTGTGGTTGTCTGTGTGTGTTTCGGCGACAGTATACGGTGAGTAAAAAGGTCTTGGTAATGATATGTGTTCCATTGCACGTTGGGTATTTTTATAGACCAACTTTTTAAAACAAATGCTGGTGAATCTTTGACAAGAATTTCACCGTGAAGCCATCTTGGAAGGTATTTTAGATTAGCATATGATTTGAACTCATTGTCGCACAGTGAAAAATTCGGTACTGAAAAACAAAGGTAGAGAATATATAGTGAAATTAATTGTATTCTATGTCATTAGTGGCGGAAGAACAATCCGGATTAACCCCGGTGTGAATAACCGATACACAGGAAGCTACTGGTTAATTTTCTCGCATACCCACACTGACAAAGCCAGAGATTCGAACACACCAGAATTGATGCGAGGAGGCAGTCATCCCTAAAGGTGAGGACATCACACGACTTGGACACCCGTGACCCTCTCATTTTAAGTTTGTATTGCAATAAGTAAACATAAGATTTCAAACTTACAAATCAAGATAGGTAACAAATGTCTATAAAGAAAAAACATGTTACATATGCCAGAACATATTGCAGCCCTTCCGTCTATGAATATTCGACACAGTAGTAGATTTTTAAGAATGCGAAGTACAAAAAAAACCCATCTAATTTAGCACATTTTATTCACACAAAAAATCATGAAAGCACATATATATATATATATATATATATATATATATATATATATATATATATATATATATATATATATATATATATATATATATATATATATATATATATATATATATATATATATACTAAGGAACATTCATACTTTTAAGCGATGCCACAAGCAAATAATCATTCAGATTGTTATGATCTCTGTTAACAATTCATTTCCAAGTATATGCAGTTTAGTCCTTTGTTTGTTTCTTTATTTTTGTAAAACAAAATAATCTTTTACACTGAAAGTTCCTACTGCCAACAAAAAAACACTTTATCTGGAGAATTTTCTCTGGAGGGCTGAGACTCATTTAAGAGAATTTGATTAACGAAATTAACAAAGTGAACAAGAACTGCTGATATCAATTATGGGCAAATGTAAAACAAGAATGAATTCGGCATGTGTATAAATGAGGTACATTATATTAAACTGCTTATTATTTCGCCATGCAGTAGTATTTAAGGTTGATGGTCCTTTCTCAAAGACCCCTTGCACCTCCAAAATGTAAACGTTAACAGTTTTATCAGCAACCTTTTTGTAGATCAGAATGATGACTTTCATGTTTCTGACAAAATATGTTTTGTCTAGGGAAGGGGTCTCTGAGACAGGAACAACACATCTACTATTACTTTCATATACGTATTAGATAATATTTCATATTTAACGAGTGAAACATTATATATAATGCCATTCTCAAAAAGACATGATGGGTTTGATCTGACAAACAGATTTTGTAAGAATTTTAATTGAATCAAATCAGCGTCAGGTTTTACTGGTATAAAACCTAAAATAATAAGCGATTTATTAAAACTTTGGTTACCAATATCAGCAAAATATGGATCAGTATGGCTATTCGCGACTGTAAACGATATGAAAATAGTGGGTTGGGCAGATGATCTAATGACATTTATTGAAACTATGGTTGATATTTTTTTTAATAATGATATTTCTAAACTAAAAGACAAAAATAAACAGAAGGATTACGTTCGGTCTACCATTCCACGAGTTCTGTCTGATAAACCTAATGAGGTTATAAGAGTCTCTTTCAGGCATACCCCCAAGGCGAATTTCTAAATATACAAGACAAAACTTTAGAAACTCAGATGGTAATCTATTTTATGTGTTCACTTTTTGTGGCTAACTGGACCCTTCATTTTTATTAAAACATTGCCCCCAGCAAATTCCTAAATATCCGACACCGAAACTTTAGAAACTCAGAAGGCTGTCTATTTAAAGGCTTTTGTTGTGGCCAGGAACCTAATGTGGTTTAGATTTAGTTTAGCGATGGTTCTTTTGGAATAGATCAAGTATGGGGTACCCCTATAGTGAAGTCACAAGCTCACGACCTCACATAATCCTGCTGTTTATTTTTAGACGGCACACACACACACACACACACACACACACACACATAAACTTATCCTAACTTATCCTAGGGTAGCTTTATCTACGTCCAACAAATTTCGTACACTCAGATCATGGCAACATCTGGGAATGCAAAGACGCACCCACAACATGTTTACATGCTGGGAGAGTGTATTTTGTTTGTTGGATGTCGATGTATTCCACCGGACCCCACCCAAACCTTTTTAAAATGGAGAGGGGAAAATCCAGAGCCCTTTCCAACGATTTTAAACCAAACTCAGTGCGTCAGTACGATAATCTAACATTCTGACACTGACCTAGAAAAATTACTATATATTTAGCTAATAGTATAAGTGCCTGTACAGAATATAGAATAAAAAGATCATAATTATTATAAGCTATAGTGTGGATGTCTGAATAAAATAACATTTATTGCAAAATATTTCAATTTCCAAATAAATTGGATAGGTCTACATTGTGTATATCAAACCAGCATTTCTGCTAAGTTTAAAGTCTATGTTATCAGCCGTAGCTATGAAACAATAAAAAAAATCAATAAATTGTATCACCTGTGTTCTGCCGTCTAAAAAGAACTTGCTGTGTGAAGATATAGCTCATGTTCTTCAAAGAGCTCTTCAGTCTAGTATTTGATTGTGCTAGATTGAGTTCAGATAACATTTTAGTTGGATACTATGCAGTCGCAATTACAGTTCTTGAATATTGTAATATTTCCTTGAAAGAGCTTAGGTCTGAGCCTGTCTGTTTACCTGCCTGTATGTGTACGCATGTGCATGTATAATATGTATGTATGTATGTATGTATGTATGTATGTATGTATGTATGTATGTATGTATGTATGTATGTATGTATGTATGTATGTATGTATGTATGTATGTATGTATGTATGTATGTATGTATGTATGTATGTATGTATGCATGTATGTAATGCATGCATGAATGTGTAAGTATGTGTTTGTCTGTTTGGCTGTAAGTCCTGTTTTGGAGATAATTTCTTTTAAGAAAATTTGAAATACCTTTTTATAAAAGCAGCGTTTGTCTTACATAACATCGCAGGCAAATGCTTGTTATCGGGCTTGATTAACTGTCACATGTTCTTAACAAAGTGATAGCGCTTGATTAACTGATAGCTGTGTTTATCTGAGGTATCGCATTTGATCAACTAATATCATAGCCTAATTTGATTAAAATGCATTTAATTAAGAAAAATAATTGACATAGAAAATCTAAAACACACTAATAGCCAAACACTTTAACCAAATGTGTACAGTGTAAAATCTAAATCACATATGCTACGTTAGATTGTAAGCTAAGCTGGTAACATATTATCTTTATTTTTTAAACCAATTATATTTCCTTACCGACACATATTTCGGCGTTTGATATTAAGTATGATGTACTGAAATGATTATATAACTAGAATTTAATTCTACCCGATATATTACGATGAGACTCAAATAGTTATTTTATTGATATTTTGCTGCGTAGATACTGACTACCTTTTGCAAAAACCTTCGACCTGTCCAGGTCTATGCTAATTTTTGTATACAAATTTTGGCAGATTGTATTATGCAAATTGTCATATTCAGGGGCAAGTTCATCTAGTATAGTTTTGAGATAATTAAAATATTTACTATTGTCTGATCTGATAAGTAAGAGATTGATTCTTTGAAATTTACCTTAACAAATACCTGAAATTTCATCTCTAAATTCAAATGATAATTGCTGGTTGTTAGCAATTGTTATTTTCATTCTGCTATACCTCCATCGACTAATGTTAAATTTTCAATCATTATTTATGATGTTTATAAAAATTACTTGCATAATATCCATGTGCAAGTGTATTAATTCCGTCCCTGCAATACTTTTTTTATCGAAATTACTTAGTCCACGTTTTAAAATTTCTTTCGTTTCGAGTTTATGATAGTTTGTTCTAGTGACATTTGTTTTGATAAAACAGCAGCCAGTGTTTAGAGCTGTTTTGATATCGTCAAAATTAATCATCTTTTCACATATCCCCGAGGGATATATTTTGCTTTCTTTGTCAATTTATCGTCATCTAATATGACAGCATACATTTTGCATATTAATCTAATAAACACAGCACCTTATTAGGTTCGTTAGAATTTTCATCAAGATATTGAACATAATTGATTTCTGTTACTGTGTGGTCTGTGTCATAAATTTCTGCTAAACCAAGATAAATTTGTACAGACTGTTTTATTAGGTTACACAAAATTATTGCGGCGCTGTTACTTAAGATATTAATTTTGTATAATTTGTTCTTCTCGTGGTGAGAAAAGTTTACTTGCTGTTATTATTTTTGCACTTTGAGATTCTTTTTTCGTGCGATTTCTGAAATATCTTGTTTGATTATCGGT